GGGGGGTCATATGGGGGGAAATTGCTACCTAACTGGGAAGTGACGCGCGAGGTTTTGAAAAAAGGTTATCAAAAGTATATATTTTTCAAAAGTTAAATACCTAAACATTACATTTATCTAAAAATCTGTCATTAGTTCCTTATTAAACTTCATCAGTGGCCCAGTAATTAGCCGGAACTTATTCCAGATAGGAACTACAAAGGTATGAAACACTTGCTGATTGGCTGATTTAGTTATGTGAGTCCTTAACCAATTACTTGTAACAGTTATATAGAGTAAATAAAGTAGAGGTATATTAAACATACCTCGTACGCTTCACACTCTTACCATGAACATTGTTGCCATATGCATCTTTTGCGGACAAAAGGGGAGATACACTACAGCCTTGTCTCACGCCGCGAATGATGATTGTTTGATAAGCAACACTCATTGCAAGTAAACATACGACTTGACATAATGTGTTTATTCATTGTTTATAGCAAGTTTTCTGACAGCTTATTAAAAGAAGATATTATACCAATCCAAATATGGTAAAATTTCTGGAGCTGATGACTTCAGAAAATGTAACTGTTATTAAAAATTAGGCACATTTTGGTTTTAAAGCTAATGAAAGAAAGACATGTTTCTGGATACTCAGGCACTGGCAAATTATGTTTTGAAAGTTATAAGATCTGAAACAAATGAAAACTTGAATTTGTCGGATACTAGTAGTCATATTATTTATTTCTGTATTGCCTGAAGGGACTTGGAAGACGCTTGGGGCTCACTTGGTGGGTTGTTGTACTCTACGCCGGTCATGATTCCCTTTTTAAGCAGAGTTAAGGCCCCTCTGCATTCGAAAATTTTGACATTGACAGAATTGTATGTCTTTTGTAAAGGGGAACTCAGGTTTATGATAACACACTACAATGCAGTGCAGGTGGCTCTAGACACCAATGTTAGTGTGACCAAAACTTAAAGTACATGCGTCCCTGTACCTGACGCTGTACATAGGGATTGAACGGCGTTTTCTAAATGTTCATACCGGTATGAACGCAAATCGGTTACATATTGCATGAAGCCCGCGCTAGGGCTTTAGTTTATGTTTAAAAAAAACATACCCTACTCATAGAATATAATTATTATGAGTAGGGTGGGATTTTGTTTTTCTCGTGACTATTTTTATTGACAGACACAAATGCCTGTGAGCTGGTGGGAGAATTTCTAGGGCAGTACATCACTACCGCTAGCAACCGTGAGTTGATAATATTTTGCTGATTGATTGTTTTTGGTCGTTTGAACAATTTCTTGTGTTAATTTGCTTCAATAAAAATGTGAAATCTCTTCAAGTGGTATCTTTGTTTAAACATGTCAACTGTTATTTCCCTTCGCAAAATCATACGCACAGGTTATGTTAATCTGGTCGAATTCATCGGCAAATGAAACAGATTACATTTGGTAGTTGCATTGAGTCCAACTTGATTGGGAATTGAAATATTCAATCATGTATGTTAGTTATGCTGCACAAGGGCATGTATACCTATTGCTAAATAATGATTATATTACTGCATATAAACACTGTCTTCTACACAATATCAAATATATACTGTACAAGTACGTGCATGATATCGTTACGTGGTAATCTTATTTAAAAACTTCTTGATAATCGACTTTAATTATTCATTAAAGGAAAGAGTGACCAGACTTGGTGGTGTATGCAGGTCTTGTAAAGAAATTTTGTCGCTATAATCTAGGTTATTTGCTCTTCATTATTCCTACAATTATGCTATTGTTATCGAGGCATTTTGTTGCAAGGTTGCAGTAACCGGACGCGAAGTGGATATGCTCCCTGCTATATACCCGTGACAGAGGTGCTCATTTCTGCGCAAAAATATGAATCGCAGTGGATTTTTCTTACCTCACTTGGCCCAAAGTTGTATTTTATGTAATTCATTGCTATATTATTTGTGCATTGCAAAAACATCCAACAAACTAAATCTCTTCCCCGTCAAAGATATAACACATAACGCTTGTACTTTATAACTTTTATAATTATCACGTCCTGTCTTATATTGGGTACATTAATTGCTGTAAAGTTCTGCTCTAATTAGCTACAACTCATTCTATGTGTCGTCAAGTTTGTCATCGGTCATCTCTTTACACTCTAAAAAGCATTCGGCATTACCAAACAGGTGCTGGATACACTGATTATAAGTGTATTTTACTAAAAACAAATAGCACCTGTGTAATACCATTACCGCACCAACGGGCTTATTTTTTAGCACTAGAGGACTTTCAGAACTTTGATTTAATTTACATGCTTGTAGCGCTGTGACGTCACTCAGGTAATGACCTGTTAACAGATTCTGTGTAAGCAAAACGCTTAACATTAACGTCCTTGCTATTCAAGCATCTATGGGATATGTTGTTTTTGTTTTCCTTCCAAACGCTATGTCGCCTGTGTTTGTCCGTGTTGTTCACTCCGTTTTAACAGTCATACAAACAGGTGAGTAGAGGCACGCGATCTAGCACGTGTAGAAACATTGAGGCGGCCACACGACTTTTGTGCAACCGTCCGTCCGCCGGTTAATCGTGGGCGACTTCATGCGTGATCTCATGATCTGTTGCTACCTTTAATATTGCATTGACTTGTCCCACTAAGGCTATATTGACAGGTATGGTACATGTCATGTGGACTTCTGACGCTCTGTTCCAAATCTCAGTATTGTGTTTAATTATTGACATCAACATTGTTATTGCAGTAGTCTTAAATATTAATACAGTAATAAAGTGATCCACGAGAAGAAAGGCCAATGATATATATTACAGAAAGAAACATTTTGAATCTAGTTTGTAGATTGCAACAAAGTCATGAAATTGTTCTCATTGATTTAATATTAGACCACAAGTGTCATATATATGGATAAACGTATTTATTATCAGGTTATAAGAACCAGAAACCAACATTTCTTTAATCACCCTCCCGAAATCATCAATAGTCCACATTCGTCATCTTTAAGTTTAGTCGTAACCATTCTCAATCCTTCTTTCCATGTCCCATTCGCCTCTGGAACATGTTGCCCACGGACATTTCATGATCACTCAGCCCTGACCTCAAAACGTTCAAGTCAGGACTCCAAACACACAAGCTGTAATTACCCTTAATTTTTTTATTAAAATAAACAAAAAAACAACATGTTTTTAACCACAAACTTTACATTCTCCTTGACAGTGCGCCTGTACTATCTTCTACATATTGAAGGACACAAAGTACACTGTTGATATTGAAATATTGCGTACTTGGTGTTTTATCTGATTTTCTCACATGCCTATAATAACTTTGAAAGTCATCTTGTACTTGAGGACAAAATTTGCTTATTATTAATGTAACTATAAAGTATTTTGAAGGTATATCGACAATTTTCTGTGATTTTGTAACCTTGGGTAAAATGCACACAACTCATTTTAAGTAATTTTTGAAACATTTTCAGGATATATAAACCAATCGTGATAACATCATTGTAAGTGCAAGCAATATGAGGTAGTGTTGGGGCGTACCTTGCACAGTGCCTTGCGCTTTGTGGCATAAACTGCTGATCTGATTCATTTTCACTGCAATTTAGCAAAAAAACATAACGATAGAAATGCATTAAAAAAAACCACTACGAAATGATGCATAACAAATTGATTTAATGCAATGTGAGTTACCTGTTTTGTCATTTCTGTCACTCATCCTTGATACTGCATTGATAATGCTCACTTACGCTCCGTGCACCCCTCGAATATTGTCAAAGCAATATGGAAGGCACGCTGCTACTTGATTGGTCCGGGTAAAAAGCCCACTGACCAATCGCTTAAAGCTGATCCGTGTCCTTTGAAGATTAAAGAGGAGCGACACCCGAACTCAAATCCAGTAAATTTTAAAGCTATACACTACCCCGGGATTCAAATGATCCATCCTTAATACTCCAGGGCTTACACCCCTGGAATATAGGTCATAGCAAAAACGAAGGCTCAGTCTGCACCACCGTGTGGATGAGACGAGAAGACTTGAGTGTGATCCTTTAATCTTATGGATATCAAAAGATCTCACGGTCGCCTAACAGTAAAATTGACTGGCCTTGAGTCAAGGTGTCGCTCCATTGAAATCTTGATCTTTTGTAGATCTGATAAAGATTCTTTCATAGTGGGTGCCAAGATCCTTCTAGGATCTCTTGTTAATTATAGCAACCAAACATCATGCTTGTTAACAAATCCTTGGGAGTTTTTAAAATATTTTGGACTTTGCGAAGTTTTACAAAACACATCCAGTGGTCAATTGGGTAAAGTTTCCAACCCTGAATACCAAAATTTGTATCACCCCAATCAAGGGTTAAAAGGGAATACCTAAATAAACAATGATTATGTTTACTGAATCCCATTTCTAATTTCGAATCACTAGCCGTTTATTCAATATACATGAAAGTTTTTTTGCTGAAGCATTAAGTTTGACCAAGTCTAATGGTGTCCTCAATGTAAGGACTAGTGATTTAGTATTTACATGTACCATATCAATTTTAACATTTTTACACAATTTAAAGAATACACGGGTTGTGTGTTTATACATGTAATGTGTATTTGTTATTGAATACAAATGTATCCGAAACAATTGATCATGTCATGTTCAATTTAATATCATCAATTATCATTGTTTATAGAAATATTCACGTGAAAACATTATTATATATACCTGGTAATATATTATTATTCCTCATCTATAATATTTCCCTAATTCATTCAGAACATATCACATGACCGTGAGACAAATCATTGTGTCTCATGCATGCTTGAAGGTTGACAAAACATTGTACCTATTTCCCTTCAGGATGTTAATTTTCCCCATGCAAGGATAGTTTCTCAAATTCTTGCAAGAGTTATCACACTTTGACTTGACATCAACAGCAATGGCAGACAACTGGAAACGGGTTATTTTGTTGTGGATGATATTTATTATATTTACTTGTCGATTCTTTATTATCAAACATGACAATGGCTAGAAAGGTATTTGTCTGTTATTCAATTTTTATAAGGGCCCTGCATCAGAGGTATTGGAGCCCTAAAGTTTTCATGGTGTCTTTCTGCACGTCTGTTTCTGTAGATTATATCAGAATCAAGAAGTTTAAAATCTGTTAAATGTAGATGTGCTTAAGGGTTTACAAGTGCCTAAAGTCAAGGTCAAGGTAACTTCTGAACCCTTTCACCACTGTAGACCATAATGGACTCATCCAGATAAATGCACAGTAGAGTCTACTAAAGTTACATAGGGGTGAAAGGGTTAATAAGAAAAATAAATCAATAGGGATATATATACTGTCAGAATGTTTGACCTGCCAGTATCTGGTTTGGTTTAATATTTTATTGAAATCATTTTGCTCTTAACTCATTTACCCCTGAAATTTCATAATGAACTATTCCAACCTTTGAATTGGAGGAGTTCAAATGAGTCTTCAGGGGTGAATGAGTTAATGTCCTACAGGTATGTAATCACCTTCTCTATACTTCTTTCATCACCCAGGTGGTCACTTTCTTTTGTTCAAGTAGTCTTATACTTGTTTCACAGATTGCTGCTTTGACCTCCTTCCCAATCTCTTCAATCTAACGTTTGCCTTGTAGGATCCCAAATCTGTTCTCCAGGTGTAGTTTGGAGACCTTGATTATTCTTTAGATTTTCCATGTTGTATTGTACATGTACATGTAGCGGCACTGGACTGGGTCGATCATCGGCGACTAGCTAGCTTAATTGGCAGAGAGTCTGTTTAGAGTTCGGAGGGTCCTGAGTTTAAATCCCAGACTAGCATTTGCAAATTTCTCTTTCTCCTGTTACAGAATTGGCGAGCTTCTCAACCCTTTTTCTCTTTCTCCTGTTACAGAATTGGCGAGCTTCTTAACCCTTGTTTTAATGAGTGAATGTTTTGCAAGAAGATAACCGAATCTTTGTTATAAATATAGTTGTGTCCTTTTAGGGTGAAGACTAAGAAAAAGGAGGGAGGAATGTAGTGGAACTAGACTAGGTCAACCTTAAGCGACCAGGGAGCTCAATTTGTAGAGCAGCCATCTAGAGTTTAGAGGGTTCCGAGTTTGAATCCCAGTCTGGCCATTGAGTTTCGCTTTCTTCTGTTTCATACATGTAGTCCTCCCTTTTCTGCTGCAAAGCTTAAGTTTGATTTCAGCAAGGACACATATATATATATATATTTTGCTATGACCATTCTAAACATCAGCTGCTTTCCTTAGCTTGAGATCTTGTAAAGATCTCCTGTCAATCGCAATGGGGTTAACCTAATTCCTGTTGTTTCCACCTGGAATTGTCTGTATATTAACTTACGGATATCCTTGTGTTATAATTAATGCCTTTCATCTTACCACCAGGTTGTGTGTCTGACAATACTCAACAAAACATGTCTCCATTTTAAATGATGACACATGTGATCTCCTTGCCTTGCCACGATCCCATCTTCGATATCCTGGTTGTATCACCTGGAATTGTCTGTATATTAGCTTACGGATATCCATGTATTATAATGCACTCGACTTAACACCAGGCTGTGTGTTTGACAATACTCAACAAAACATGTCTCCATTTTAAATGATGACACATGTGATCTCCTTGCCTTGCCATGAACTCATCCTCGATGCTCCAAGGGTTACGCACACTTTCGCTAGTTTCCTTTCCAAAAATATCACAACCAGAATGTTGTGTTGAGGTACATATACTAATATACTTAGATGTTGTACATCAAGCAGTGCACGAAGTGCAGTATATATATATGTATATGACTGACCTTCTCCGTGCCTCATTGAAAGAGGCAAAGCACTGCATGAAAGTTGTAGCTATATGTATTTCAAGTATAATGATGCTTTTCTAAATGATTGTATTCCTCTCTACCAGTAATATTCCATGTTTTTAACTTCATGCATAGCTAGACATGATATTATTTTCAGCTCTGAGTACAACACTGTTTCATCATTTCACCCTTTCACCCTCTATCTACATCACAGAGATATATATTGGATAAATCTGTATGGCCACAATGCAATGACCCATGTGATTCGCATGTTTGAAATTTTTCTTCTATGATGTTTTCAGCTTGAGATTTATACTATAGATATAAGGTTAGCACACGAATACAATAGTGAGAACAGGTTAAATTATTTTTCCGTAAAGTCGGGACGGGGTATTTTTGTCTCATTGACGGAAGAAAATAGACTAATTGGGAAAGAAATGTTCAGGAGTAAACTCCAAATTTTGGGAATTAGGCATTAAAATGAAATAGTTTCATTTGGGAATGGGACCCTTTATAAACCCCAAAAAGTTTCCAGAATAAAACACTCATAATGAAGTGTATATCTATGTACATAAAATGTATTAGAGGTGTAAATTGCATCACCTACTATTTAGCACTGTTATCGACCAGTATGTTTATTTCATGCAGAGGTCAATTACACAGGTAAAATGATCAGATGATAAGGTCTGCTACTAGAAGTTTAATATTAAAATGATAACGCAAGTTCAAAACAGATCACAACCATTAATAAATTCCATGCATAAAATAATGTGTAAAATAAACATGCTCGATTGCATGAATATCGTTATTGCAAAGAATAAATATGGTAATGGACAATTCATTATGTGTTGTATTATTTGCAAATGCTCTGTCAGTCTTTTGACTACTGTAGTCTCGCTACACAAACAAAATCATTAAACATACACGTGCAAATTACAATTAACTCAATAAAATTGTACCCGGCCGGCCAGTTAGGCGGACTGAAAACAGCTGTATTGTACCTCTGAACGTTCATGCCACATGCATTAGTACAATTGTATAGTGTTATATTGATTTCTCCTGAAGATTGATTTATGAGAGTAGGATCTACCTGTTATTTAGACTAGGTAATTGAAATTATTTAACATTTAGAAGCAAAAAAAAAAAATGTCTACCTTTGATGTAAGTTTAAAAAAAAAAATTAAAACATTATATAATTACCGGGTAACGCATAACTTCGTTGAACTCTTTGCACGGATGTTGGATCCCCCACTCCCCTGGCCCCCACATTACAATAACTTGTTTTGAAGATGTATATTGATATAAAAGAAAAAAATCAGTGTAATTTAAAATACGTGTTCAGTCACTATAAGTCGATACAAACATTAAAGGAGTGGTGTTGGAATTGAACAACACATGACGAGTGGAGAAACTATTGAAGCCTTCAGTCTGTTCCCGTATGGAAATCTCAGCATTAATAATGCAACACTCTATCATGCAGTAACTTTCAAATTGATGAAAGATACCCCAGTAGACGAATTTGTGATGTCGGTGTGCCAGATACGCACCTTGTTTAACGATTAATTTCTATATATATAAACACAATGTCCTTATAGATATGTTGGGGGTAAGTAAGAATGTTTCTATGCTATTTCAATTTTTTTTTTTTTTTTACGAAACTGCATGGGGGGGGGGTCATCATTTACTTGAACAGAAGATGTAATATCCAGAGTGCCATATTGTTTAAAAGTCTATTCCGCTCTCTGATGAGGAATGTCTGAAAATTATGAAAGTCATTTATTTTTATTTCTTGTCTGTGTAGATGATTCTTCTGACTCGCTAAAGTTCAAATTCCAGTTTTGAGTTTCAATATTTTTCAACATATAAAAGATAAAAGTTTTGTGTGCAGTTGTTCAGCAAATAAGGCTTTTAAACATCTTGGCCCCGTACTGTAATGCAATGTTGTATTGGTTTGACATTATGTGTACTGAACATGTATATAACGTGCAGAACTATAACTACCAGCAAGGAACTTCAAGTGGCACTGATGAAATTTTATAAGTTGGCACGTTAAGCCAAAAGGAGGCATGCATTGGGCAAAAAATGTAACAGGAAAAGACACATAAACACACAGTCGGGTATTCTAGTGCAAATTTCAACAAAAACAAATATGGGAAATAGTTTTGTGCAGTTGTTAATATGACTTGGCTGCCAATCTGGAACATTCTTACATATGTAGCATATACATTGTATACAGATTCTATAGACAACCTGCTGCTAGCAAATTTAAAGTAGTGTATCCGAATGTTGGTTGTTCAACTACAATAAATCTATATGTAGCTTTGCATGCATGGATTGACCTGAAGGAAAACCGTTCCCTCAAGTTATGAAATATTTAAGTCATTTTCTACAGGAGTATTCTGTGTTTTTTATCATAATGCGATGTATTTTACAGAATTTCAGTTGCTTGAAATTTGAGTATTTGAAAACAAAGTCCAAATGTAAAGAAAAAAACTTGAAAAACCTATCCAATGTTAATCCAACTCTTTACCAAAGAATAAAAAAATGCATGGCATCAGTTAAGTATATTTGCTTTATCTTCTATATATAGAAGGGAAATTACTCCCAAGTAAAAAAAACAATCTTAATTTCAAAGTGGAACTCTTCTTTGTAATTACTCTGAGCAGTGGTGCCTTTTACCTTAACAATTATCTGTAATACGTTTTTTTCAAATGAAACTAGGATACCTTTTTGAAACATCCTGTCAAACATGAAATGATTTCCAATTAAGATAATGCTGTTGTCTTATTTACTATGATAAATGTCATCCATTTTAAGTATGGAAGTCTTTCCTTTTAGGTATGTACATTAGTGAAGGTCCTAAATATTGATGTTTTCAAGTTCCCCAAGTTCCCCAAGGTCCTCAAGGTCCCAAGGTCCCCAAGGTCCTCAAGGTCCCCAAGGTCCTCAAGGTCCTCAAGGTCCTCAAGTTCCCCAAGGACCCATTACATATACAATGTGAGGTATACCTTAATGGTAGCTATACAGCCCCTGTCAGTTCATAAATGGTGTTTATACAGTCAAGTCTCAGGAGACACTGTGTTTCCATTGATCTGTTTACCTTTGACATTCAAACAGAATACTGTGGAGCAATATTCTCCGACATTTGTTGGCAAATGATGTAGATCAATAATAAAAATATTTTTTTCTATTTTCATCTTTTTTCCTACAGGGAATACTGGCTCAGATTAACAGTAGCTGTGGGTAGACAAAGGAGAAAATCAACATGTGAATCGTACATATGAGAAAAAGAAATATGGCCCAATGCCCATCAGGGCATAAAATGTTTGAATTTGTTACGAACAATTTGGTGAAAAAAGGACAATGAAATTTCACAATGTCCATGGGAGCGGTGTTTCACTGTTGGAGAACAAGACCGTTGCCACTCGGGCAGACAACTCTTTCTGCAATGGCATTGTGTTCAGTGACCTACCAGTCAAGGTCAACCAGAAGGTGTGTCTGGAGCTGACCACTGTCCAGACATGGAGCGGAGCCCTCAGGGTAGGACTGACCTCTCTTGACCCTGGTAAGGTCAGTGTGGCCGACCTGCCACGTTACGCCTTGCCTAATCTGGCCAAAAAAGAGGGATACTGGATCCAGCCAATCAACGAAAGCTTTGTGGATACGGGGTCGCGTGTGACCTTGTATCTTAGTTCTCAAGGTCAGCTGCAGCTATTTGTGGATGGACTACACAAGGGTGCCTGTCTCCAAGGCCTTCCGACTGACCGCACTCTATGGCTGTGTATTGATCTCTATGGAAACACCAAAAGTGCCAAACTGGTCAAACCAGGTAGGTAAAAATGCCAGTTGATGGGTATGTGTTCATCATCTCACCATTACTGGGACCCTTGTTTCTAGTTTTAAATATACAGTCAAACCTGCTTGGGCAACCACCTCTACTAAATGTTGAGATGCTACTTTTGAAAATTTCAATTTTCAGCTGTATTTTTGGTAATGGAACCTGTATAAAGAGATTATCTGCAACAAGAGACCACTGTTTAAGCATCCCAATAGTGGTCCCTCAATACAGGTTTGACTGTATATGAAGTACCAGTAGTTTGAGTATATATGTTGTTTATATTGGTGATATAGGTATTGCCAGCCGTATACAAAAAAAATTCCTTAATGTTAAAAACCCCAGCTAAAATAACTCTTTATGTACATGTGTCGACCAAAATTGTCTGCTTATGTCTATAATGATGTCAGCCAGCCCAAATGACATGCTGAGATGAATAAGAGGGGTTCAGCGAACTCCATTTTGGGTATAATTACAAAAACAAACAGTATCTTGGTGACTCTATCATTTTTCAGCTTATAAATCATTTGATTTAAAATAGTATGACATTGATTCCTTTACACTTTCTTTTATCAAAATACCTGCAAGCATGTATATATAAATACACAACTTCTAGGACTATCATGATCAGGATTACGGTCTGCCGTAAAATTTTCATTTCATCAAAATGGCGGTACTCTATAATTACCCTCCAATTACGCTCCGATTATCTAGTATTCAGGATCAGTGCCCAGACTGTTCAATACATAATACTCTGTATTGATCCATCATTTACAAAGGTATCTTCTGTAGATTGTGTTAACTTGACAGGCAGCAATTTTTTTCTTTTGATTTGCAATGTTTCCTCGGTCTTGTTGTGCATGAACATCATTTAAATATTTAACATGTCATGTGTTTCGCGTGTGGAATGGTAATTACTTAGAATGGTTTGCATTAATTTTCCAGTATGATCTATCAGTAATAATTATATGGTGCTGCTTGACCTTGTGATGGCCTGCAGTTTAACGACTCATATCGGTATTTAACATTCATGCCAGTATGAGCGTAAACCAGCTGCATCCATGTACAAATATATTACATACTGTTATACAATATGTATATGGATGTGCGTGTATACGTATGAGTCAAAAAAAGTAATATCAACGGTAAATTGCCAACAATGCAGTCATGATCAGTGTAAATCAATATTCTGCCTACGGTTTTATATGCTAGTTGAGAGACATATTGTTTTTAAAATATAAGCTATATCCTATTACATGTATATTTCTATTTTGTTTTAATGTTATGTAAGCTGTTCTATGTTTCTGTGTCTCTATAGAGGACCAGATCCAAAGATTGCTCCGAAAGTTTGACGACCTCCTATTGTCTACACTGTTGGGATTACTTCCTTGTCCATGTATATATTTAAAATAATATAGCGATAAATAGTTTTAAGTGTCCATGTGATGGTAAAAATATATATATAAAGCAAAACGCAAAGACTACAATTCACAAGCGCTTTCGACCATTTTGGGGCTTTTGAGTCGATTTGAATTTATTTGTGACGTCATAAATGGAGTACACATACTTATTACTTAATGCATAAAAAATACTGATGTTATAAACAAAGTACACACAATGCGGATGTCTAGAAATTGCGACGTCTTCTAAAATAATATATCTAAACATATATAAGATAATGCCAGAAATGGTTGTTTCTATAGGATGAGACCAGTGCTTTACTTTATATACCGGGACTTCATTATATTTTGCCCTCGGCCTGGTTTGATATATAGTGTCATTACCGGGATTAACGGTAGTCGAGGGCGTAGTATCCGTCGCAGAGTCTGATTGTCTTTAGGGCCCGACTTAATGTATATGTGACCAGTGCTGGGTATATATTGCTACGTGTATAATTAGTGATGGAATACTAACATTGATCAAAGATATTTCATTTTAATTGTTGAAAATTTATTACAGAAACTTTATATTTAATGATACAAGACAATATATATAATAAGACAATTAAGCATCTGAATTGTTTTTATTCACATTAATTGTGACCAGATGTCTCAGCAGATAATCGGGCTAGCTACTGGGGCCATGAAAAGTGACATCCCAAAATTATGTGCACTTCATGAAGTACATGTGTCCTCAAAAGGTACTGGGAATTCTCAGAACCTTTGTGTCCTATCCGAAACCTAATAAAGCTCATCTGTCTGTATGTATATACAACCAGCAGCACTATAGCAATCAACTCAGGGTTGACTTTTTAGATGAAAACAAACACAATTACAGCATAATTTAACTGATTGAATGTAATCATGAATAAATGAATGCAAATAAAGGGCAATTGAATTGAGAGTGTGGTACCGTTACTGGATAGCAGATCTGTGGAGAATATTGATTGATTTAGTGGAGGAGCCTAGGATTGCTGATTGATTCAACAACTTTCGATTCACCTGTACGTGTATACACGTTTACCTGTCTCAGGTAGCATATATACCTGGCTTTATCCTACCTGAGAGCCGTATGTGCTGTTATATTATATCTGCGTGTTAAATGGAACGTATATCTGATTATGTCTGGCCATGGGTCCAGTAAATGTTTAATGCTGCGCCTCATTGGAAGGCTTCAACCAACTGTGCTGGGACTTCTGTAACAGAGCTTGATGGCACGGTGTGCTCCTGGCAGTGGAGGGCAGAACTGCAGGTAGCTATAAGGACAGCATATGTACCGGGAGGTACTGGGGTAGAGAAGCCCAAACTGACATGTCGTCCATACAGCTGAAACTGTAGTCAGTATCATGAAGATTTGTGGTTGGTTTTACATGTACATTAACATTGGACATCTATTCTGCTAGATATCATACACTACAAGCTGAAGATAAGTTTGGACTTTTTGGATGATATTCACACTCTTGCAGCGGGCATGATATACGCCCCTCCAATCTGCTGATGTGATGATGCAGGATTTTGATAAAAAGAGTTTCATTTCGACAACTTCACACTAAATATATTTCAAGGAGATACGTCAATACCGTTGTGATGGATGTTCCGTAGATACAGTATTTAAATAGGCACGGTGACACCGGCACCAGACTGATACATTAGGTGACGGAGACACCTACATATTATATTGATATTAACGAAGATTCCGAGGAAAGTGTCACATATCTTGGTTGTGGGCTAGTTGACTAACAGTATCGTAGGCGGAATGGTCATGCTCTTGGATCCTGGACGTGGCTTCGACCGGATATATCTAATCCCGACATAATGACCGGGGGTGGTAAGGACATCTCATTTATTGACTATAAGTAGTTATTATTGTTGTGTTTGCTCAACTGGCAAGTACACAGGTGTCAAGCTGGTGAGTATGTTGTGTCCAACTGATGAGTGAATGGGTCCTGTTGGTAAGTGGGTGTTCCCAGGTGGTAAGTGTGTGTTCCCAGGTGGTAAGTGTGTGTGCTCAGACGGAATTTGTGTGTTCCCAGTTTGTAAGTGTGTGACCCCGGTAGAAAGTGTGTGTGCTGATGTGGTAAGTGTGTGTTCCTAGGGGGTAAGTATGTGTTCCCAGGGGGTAAGTATGTGTTCCCAGGGGGTAAGTATTTGTTCCCAGGGGGTAAGTGTGCATCCCATGGCCAGGTAGGTTTATTTGAGTTTTACGTCCTATTAACAGCTATGGTCATTTAAGGACGTGTTTTGGGGGTGGAGGAAAGCCAGAGTTCCCGGAAACCCCCCACCAACCTATAGCCAGTACCTGGCGACTGCTCCACTTAGGCCTCGAACCCACAACCCAGTGGTGGAGGGTTTGTGGTAGCAGAATGTCAGAAAACTTAACCACTTGGCCACTGATCCCAGGTGGTAATTGTGTGTGCTCAAGTGGTAAGTGTGTGTTCTGAGGTGGTAAGTGTATGTTCCCAGGTGGTAATTGTGTGTGCTCAAATGGTAAGTGTGTGTTCTGGGGTGGTAAGTGTGTGTTCTGGGGTGGTAAGTGTGTGTTCTCAGGTGGTAAGTGTGTACTGAGACGGTAAGTGTGTGTTTCCAGGTGGTAAGTGTGTGCTGAGACGGTAAGTGTGTGTTTCTCGGTGGTAAGTGTGTGTTCATTGTTGGTAATCATTTGTGCTGAGGTGGTAAGTGTGTATGTCTGACAAGCTGGTGTATGTCTGACAAGCTGGTGTATGTCTGACAAGCTGGTGTATGTCTGACAAGCTGGCGTATGTCTGACAAGCTGGTGAGCTTAAGCTTGGGGACCCAGACGATGCAAAGTGTGCATGTTTAAAAGCTGTTTTTTGTGTTACCATACAATCTGCTGTTGAGTGTATGTGTTGTGTGCTTAGTGTATGTGCAGAGATGATGAGTGTGTGTGTAGAGGTTATGAATATATGTGTAGAGATGATGAGTGTATGTGTAGAGATGGTGAGTGTATCTGTAGAGATGGTGAGTGTATCTGTAGAGATGATAAGTGTGTGTGAAGAGGTTATGAATATATGTGTAGAGATGATGAGTGTATGTGTAGAGATGGTGAGTGTATGTATAGAGATGATGAGTGTATGTATAGAGATGATGAGTGTGTGTGCAGACATGATGAGTGTATGTGTAGAGATAGTGAGTGTGTGTGCAGATATGATGAGTGTATGTGTAGAGATGGTGAGTGTATGTGTAGAGATGATGAGTGTGTGTGCAGAGATGATGAGTGTATGTGAAGAGATGATGTCTGTGTTTGTAGAGATGATGAGTGTATGTGTAGAGATAGTGAGTGTGTGTGCAGATATGTTGAGTGTATGTGTAGAGATGGTGAGTGTATGTACGTGTATGTACGTGTAGAGATTGTGAATGTATGTGTAGGGATGGTGAGTGTATGTGTAGAGATAGCGAGTGTGTGTGCAGATATGATGAGTGTATGTGTAGAGATGGTGAGTGTATGTACGTGTATGTACGTGTAGAGATTGTGAATGTATGTGTAGGGATGGTGAGTGTTTGTGTAGAGATGATGAGTTTGTGTGTGGAGATGGT